GAAATGCTCACGATCATTAGTTATTAGAGAGATGCAAATCAAAACAATGAGATACCATCTTGCTCCAGCACTAGTAGCAAAATTCAACAAGACAGAAAATAACAAATGCTGGCGAGGATGTGGAGAGATTGGGACTCTCCTACAGTGCTGGTGGGACTGTAAAATGGTACAACCACTGTGGAAAGCAGTATGGCGATTCCTTAAAAAGTTGGAATTAAACATACCATTTGACCCAGCCATTCCATTACTAGGTATATATCCTAAAGAAGTGAGAGCCATAACAAGAACAGACATGTGCACACGCATGTTCATCGCAGCACTATTTATAATAGCCAAAAGATGGAAACAACCTAGGTGTCCATCAACTGAGAATGGATAACCAAGCTTTGGTACATACACACAATGGAATACTATGCAACCATAAAGAATAACCTAGAATATGCAAAACACCACATGACACGGATGAACTTGGAGGACATTATGCTGAGTGAAATAAGTCAATCACAGCAGGACCAATATTGTATTAGTCCGTTATTGTAAAAGTCAAGGAAAGTTTATCTATGGAAGGAAATTTTCTTTGTTGGTTACCAGGGGTGGGACGGGAGGGGAGGGAACACTGTTAGATAGGTAGAGACAAGTGTTGATTTGGGTGAAGAGAAGGGCAATATACCAAATGCAAGTTATCAACATGGTAGCATCGAGGAAGAGGAAGACAGAGAGGTACATGGGAGGTGCAGACAACAAAGAGATGAATCCTTCTGCACATACAGTACTGTTATCAGTGAAGGCAAACATGGGTATACGGGTAGATAGATGGGTGGATAGGCTGAACTATTAGGTATGTCTATGAAGCAGGGAGTATACCCAAGACCATGTATAGGGTTGGCAGACAATGGTCCTATAAGTGTGTATGTATGATCTGAATTCCCAGGTGTATAGCTGAGCTGACAAGGGACAAGGTTGTAGTCACTTCTTGGTCACAGCCAGCTACCCAGAGGGACCAAATAGTTGAACCTGTGGGCTCGGGACCATAGTCACAGGGGACATCAAGCTCAAATGGCATAACATACTACACAAAACATTGTTCCACCTCCTACTTTGGTGAGTAGTGACTGGGATCTTAAAAGCTTGCAAGCAGCCATCTAGATGCAATGATGGGTCTCTCCTCACCCAGAGCAAAGAATAATAAAGAAAACGAAAGATTCATGGAAAGAATTAGTCCTAGCGACTGTACACCATGTGATCTGCAGCCTATACAACTATGTGACCAGAAGAACCAGATGGTGCCCAGCTACTCGTCAACCTCTTGGAGGGGGATCTATGTAGGAGATCCTGGATAGAGAGGGAGAATGATGTGGAACAAAACTCAAAATCATTTGGAAAAAACAAAAAGGGGACCAGGTTTGCTGGTCTGATAGAGCCTGGTAGAACCACTGAAACTATGGCCTCTAGCTGCCCTTCAGGTCTGGAATTGAACCCATACCTATGGCTTCCAGCCAAGCTAAAGACAGCCATATGATCTGAACTTTTACCTGAGGCATATATACTCCTTGGGAAGAACCATCATGGGAGAAAGAAGGGCTGTTTATGCACAGGGAGACAGCTCAGGGTTCAGCGGTGCATGGAGAGATGGACACAGGGAAGAGATGACTGTCAGGAGGAAGTGGGAGGGGAGCTGCTGTATTGTGATGAATTGTGATCAATGTCATGGGACAAAGTGTATGTGAACTGTTGTACTGAAAGTGAATTTGCTCTGTAAATTTTCACCCAAATCACAATTAAAAAAAAAAAGATTTCCATGGGGGGAAAAAATAAAAGTGAAAACCACTTAAACATCCAACTAATGAATGAACCAACCAAGTGTGGTATATCCATACCATGGCATGTTATTTGGTAATAAATAAAAATTAAGTATTGATACATGCTAAAACATGAACGAACCTGTAAAGAATTATGTAAGTGAAGAATCCAGGTGCAAAAGACCACATACATTATGATTCCACGCATGTGAAATGTCTAGACTAGGTAAATCCAGAGAGACAGAAGGTAGACTAGTGGTTGCTGTGACTATAGTGAGGTGTGGGTAGGATAGAGAGCAGGAGTGAGGAATGTAGTACAGTGAATTACTTAATACGGGCCTTTCAGTCATAGCCTTTGTAACTTTCACCAAATGACTAGGTGGGACTCTGCAAACGTGAGGGGCTTGTGGCCTATCAAGGGGACTGACTGGAAGTTGTTGTTGTTATGTGCCACTGAGTTGGACTGGACTCACAAGCGACCCCTCCTTGGGTTTCTGAGACAGTATCACCATGCAAGTAGATTGTCCAACCTTCCTTCAGAGGAGTGGCTGATGGGTTTGAACTGCCAGCCTTCTGGTTAGCACTCAAGTGCCTTAGGCACTATGCTATCAGAGCTCCTATCAAGGAGACTGACTGGCTAGCTAGCTAATAATATAAATAAAGTGCATGGCCTCATTGTCAGGGTGGGACTATGCAAATAAGGTGTATGAAACCCTAACATGGAGATAGGTCAGTTTTGAGATACCACTAGGCTTCATATAAGCTGTCCCAGAGGCAGAAAGGGGAGAATCTTATGACCATCAAGAAAGAAGAGCAAGAAGTAGAATGCATCCTTTGGACCTGAGATCTCTGTGCTGAACCTCCCTGACCCAGGAGACAGACAGCTGTGACACCAAAGACAGTGAGATACGATGGGAAACAGTGGCAGTAGAGGCAAGAGATGGCATGATAGAAAGCAGTGGGCTTTCCAGCCCATGGAGCAAGAAAGCTGAATGCCTTTAGGCAGGAGGCTTGCTGGTGAGTGGGGTGCCTCTAAGGCATTTATCAACAGAGGTAAAAGATCTTTGTAATACTTGTCTGAGCAGAACAGAGGTCAGGCCAGGCCATGAGTCCAAAGGCCAGAGAGATCTGCCTTTGGGAATGGCTGAGGGGAGGCTCTCCTGATCAAAGAACTGTATTCTGAGCATTCCTGATCCTGAATTGTAATTTGTTTCTTCCCTAATAAATCCCATGATGTGAATATTATCTGAGAGTTTTGTGTAGCCATTGCCACAGATTATCAAATGCAGCGGAGTAGTAAAGAGTGCTGTGGGCGGGATGGTTAGGGTCAGAATTGGTAAAAAGGTTGGAGGGTGGTTTGACCTCCACCTCATAGCAATCAGCCTTGGGCTGCTGATCTTGATCCCTCTATTTCTAATGAACCTGGAGGAGGTCAGATGATGCTATCACTGTGCCATTTTTATAGGGAATGACTATAACTGTATGTAAGATTTCTCTTTGGGGTGTTGAAAATGTTCTGAAATTAGATTGTGGTGATGATTTGCAAAACTATTAGTATATACCACTGAAATACACACTTTAAGTGGATTTTTATGGTGTAAGCAATATATATTTATTGGTATATCTCAATAAAACTGTTAGAAAAAAAAAAAAAAGATTTACCAGTAAGAGTCTAATTCCTGTATTCAGGCTTTTGTTCCACCATAAGTCTTTACTGAAGATTAGTGAGTGAATCACTGATACTGTCACTGTCTCTAATAAAGCATTTTCTGTATTCTGCCATACCTGCAGCACACAAATTATCCATTTTATTAGGTAGAATTTTATAATCTAAGCAAATTATTAACATAAACATAATCAAAATTAAACTTAGCAACTGGAAAATAGTATGAAGTGCACGTTAGGATTACCATTCTAAAAGCTCTTGTGAATCCGATGGAAACAGCCACAGAGTGGAGCCTTTGCAAGGAACTGTCCAATGAAAGAAATGCTATCATAGCAAAAGGTGACACTAAAACAAAAAGAGACAAATTAAGGCAAAGTAATCCCTTCTACTACATTCTATTTTGGCAAAAATAAGAATTTTTTACGAGCACACATAAACAATTAACTGAAAAATCTAATGAAGCAAAAACCCAAACATAAAAGAACAAATACTTGTACATAGTATAAACCAAAAGCCCAAACTCACTGCCACTGAGTCAATTCTCACTCACAGCAACCCTACATGACAGCAGAACTGTCCCATAGGGTTTGTGAAGGCTGTCAGTCTTTACGGAAGCAGACTGCCACATCTTTCTCCCACGGAGCAGATGGTTGGTTCAAACCACCAACCCTTCAGTTAGCAGTTGAGTGCTTAACAACTGTGCCACCAGGCTCCTTACACATAAATATGGGAATTCTGGACATTTTTGTATACTTCTGAAATACAGTCTGTAACATAAATTCAGATTTTATCTTCCTACCTAGAGTCAGCAAAATTCTTCTGACAACACCAATCTTCATGAGCCTTGTTTGCTTCTCTAAGAATACAGTCACAGTTTGCACATCCCTTGGATAGAAAGGGTTTCGGAAAATCCCAAAGATATAGACACTTTGAATTTCTCTAAGTATCCACAATATTATAACTAGTATCATCAAAATATAGCCAACAATAGCCTGAGGATTCCTTTTGGAAATCTGTGAGAAATCAGCAAAGTGATGTAGCAAACTAGTTTCTAAGAGAGCTAAGACTAACACAGTGAAGTAGAAAACACATTCCTTCCACGTGAACTGTGTTTCTTGACCAGTGGGTAAAGCCTCAGATTTGGTTCTAACTTTGTGTCTGATCACACTTTGTTTGAAGACAAAACCCATCTCACTTAAGTTAAGACTCAGTAAAAACCCAAGTCCAGTCATGAAAAGAACCACACCAAGAGTGCTGGGAATGAAATACGACGTTACAGCTGCTCCAGCAGAGATGATGAACATTGCTAATAACCTGCAGAAGAAAAAGGAGAAAAAAAGATTTGCTTGAAAAAAAAATGTTCTTTAAAAGTAAGTTACACATAACTTCAGTACTGTAAAAAGTTACCGTTGGTGGCTTGACATGGGTGAGCCTCCAAGGCCAAACTCTAAAACCTGCTCCATTGCCCAAAAGAGAAGTGCATCAGGCGGAGGCAGAGTCCCCAGTGCCCAGAGAAAAGGTAAGAATATAAATAAGATGTGTAAAATCTGATTCATTTGTTCTAGAGCTGGCATATTTAACATAAACCTGTAAGAAAAACAAAACATTTAAATCATATATAATACTTTATAGAAGAGAATATCTTTAGGAAAAGCAAAATAACACAGAATAACCCACACCCTCCCACTTCCAACTGTACCTATTCCATTACAAAAGAACTACTTATGGAAAGTTCCCAATTCCAACTTACAAAAAAAATTAACACATAAAAACTGTGATCCTTGTCCTTCCTCTCTACCAGTAACTATCCCAATTCAATTGTGTAAAAGCTTGGCATTTAGAGAATATGTAGGTTCAAATGTGGACAGAAGGAAGATATAATTAAAAGCCACCACTGAATAGTAGCTAAGTGGAATGTAGGGTCTTATGAAACTGAACATTAGCCTATAGCAAAAATATCCCTCCCCTCAATGTTTAATTTGTTTGGCTGTAATTTTTCCAATGATTCTTTATAGAGTTTAAAAATTTTAAACTTAAAATTACAAACAACTCTAAGAAAGCTAAAGCCTTACTGACATTCTTTCACACATCAGTAGCTAGAAAAGGGAGAGTGTTTCTCTTCCTCCTATTTTGTCCTGTATGGCCCTGTTCTCAAGCCCCAAGATTTAAAGTCCTTATCATTAACATCAGAAGTGAGCAACTTTAGGTTTGAATGTCTCCTTGAATTAACTTGGCAACTTAATCTGCAAGTATGGCATGGTTTCTCTCTTATGTAGATAGTGGTATGAATTTGAGAAATTGAGAACAATTACTTACACAATACATGCTCATAATTTAGTGACTGCCTCTATTCTAAAACTGGTACTTAGTACTGCACTTACCATTTAAGTACAATGTCATTAAACTGCTTCAAATAATCTAATAAAAAACTTTTCAAGGCAAATAAGGTTAAATATAATCAATATGATGTTAATATTTTAGAGTAAGTCAAATCAAATACCTTATCTGGAGATCAAAAAGGTTTGAAAGCGCTTAAGAAGTTCCAAAGAGAACTTTCAAAAGAGAAAACTAAATCTTTAAACTTATAATGTAATTGTACTTGAATACCTGAGCTCCTGGAATCAAAGTCAAGGAGAAAGACAACTTCTGCAACAATTATCCACTTACGTGTATGCTGACAGCCCAGAAGAAAACGTACAGTAACTAGGGATAGAATAATGGCATAATGTGTTTGCTCACACAGACACCAGGACCATGCCAGCTAATGCACGTGGCATCATAATGTATGTCCTTCAAATTTTACAAGCAGAGAATTAATGAAGACAAGGTTAACAATGTGATGTAGAATTAGCTGACAATACTTTCTATACTATAGCATTAAAATAAAATTCATTTAATTCTAAAAAGAAAACACTCAAGCAACAAAAAGAAAATCAAACCACACACACATAACAAGCACAGGAAGGTCAAGGAAAAAATGATTTGAACAAATATTTTTTTAAGGCAATACTTCTATTGCTAGAACACTCAAGAATAGTCTGCAAAAATAACATACCTCCATATCCATGTGTTGTGCATCCCACTGACTGAAAACATTCAGGGGTGAGGGTGGGGTGGGCAACAATTAAGTGGTCAAAACAATCCCTCAAAGGCTAAGAGGGAGTGTAAAGTGCTATTTATATGGTATAAGTATTATAAGTAATCTAGACAGGATTTAAAGTATACGGGAGAAGGTGTATAGGTTAAATGCAAATACTACACTGTTTTATACAAGGGATTTGAGGATCTGTGGATTCTGATATCCAAGGGGTCCACTGAGGGACTGTACTTAAGGATTTTACCTAGATCCTTCTTTTTGTTTCTGAAGTGAACAATAAGCAATGGCCCAGAGAAATATTTATACATAAGGATATTATAAAGAAAGCACAATGTAACTGAAGTAATCACAAACACTGTGATTATTCTTCAGTGGGATAAGACTCAGTCTTCAACAGATGACTGTGGCTAGTTCTTTTGCATGGAAAAATATTTTAATTCTTTTGCTTCTGATAATGTAACAAGGAATTTCTAGGGTAAAAAAATCTCAGCCTTCAAGGGAAAAAAAAAATTTACTTAGAACCCAACAACTATAAAAATGTTTCAAATTCTGTACACTAAAGATCCACATGACAAGAAAAAAGACGGTCTTTATAGTTGCTAAAATGATGTGAATGTACATCATTCATTCAAACAATTCCTGATACTCTGTACACTTAAGCATGGTAGATTTAAAGCTCGTCTTTGATAAAATAAAAATGTGTAGGAAAAAGCTGTTTACAATTATTAATACAACGGTACATGGTAAAGAATGGTGAAAAAGAAAAAAGATACTACTCTGTGGGGCTTCTATTTCATTTTGTTTCTCTGAAACAAAACTATTATGGATTGAATTATATCCTCCAAAAATATGTGTTATATGGGAGGGGAGCTGTTGCATTGTGGCAAACTGTGGTCAATGTCATGAGACAAAGTGTATGTGAACTGCTGTATGGAAAGTTTATTTGCTCTGTAAATCTTCACCCAAATCACAATAAATTTAAAAAAAAAAAAATGTTATAAATCTATGCCTCTATGCCTGTGGTTATAATCCCATTAGGAAATGGGCTTTGTTATGTTAAGACAGGATTAGTAGAACATGTCTTAAATCAATCTCTTTTGAGATATAAGAGAGATTAAACAAGCAAGAAAGAGGAGAGATGGGGGAAGAGAAATGCCAAGCCACATGAAGACTGCCAGGAAGAGCAGCTCAGAAGACAAAAGGACCTTCCTCCAGAGAGAGACAGAGTCTTCCCCTGGAGCCAGAACGCTGAATTTGTACTTCCAGCCTCCTGCTGCCTTTGTTGTTAGGTGTCAAGTCAGCTCAGACTCAAAGCAACCCCACTTACAACAGAATGGAACACTCTCTGATCCTGCCTGCTGAACTGTGAGATTATTTCTGTGTGTTAAAGCCATCCATTGTGGTATTTCTATTATAGTAGCACTAGATATCAAGGCAGAATTTGGTACCAGAAGAGTGGGGTACTGCTCTAATAGATAAAATATGGAATTGGGTAGAGACTAGAAAGAGTTTTAAGATGCCTAATAGTAAAAGTCTCAATTGCTCTGAAGAGACTGTTGTTAGAATTATGGATGACAAAGTCAATTCTGGTAAAGGTTTAGAAGGAAGTGAGGTGGGCTGTGGCAGTTAAGGTTATATGTCAACTTGGCTGGGCATGGTTTGGAATGGGTAGGTACCTGGATGTAGCTCTCCATGATGAGAATGGTAATCAACTTTATGGTGGAATCTACTAGAAAGGCTGAGTAGCTGCCTGAGGGATGTGGTCTGCTTCCAGTATATAAGGAGAAGCATTGAGAAAGGTCTCCAAGCTTTTGGCATGCCTGAATCCTGCACGCAGTCGTTCAAGTTGTCATTCAGCAGCCTGCCATGTTGTCTGCCAATCTTGGGACTATCAGTGGAGTTGAATTAGTAGCCTGCTGTGTGGTTTGACAATTTTGGGACTGTGCCATTTTACTTGTCGACCTTGGGTTTGTTAGCCTCTGCAGCCAGCAGCTGCCTGAGTGAAGAGAAGCCTCCAGCTTCAGTGGGCCAGGAGCAAGAGGCAGAGCTGAAGCCCAAGGTCAAGGGGCTTTCACCAAGCCCCTACAGCTGGCACTTTGAATTCACCCTTCTAGCCTCCTGAACTGTAGGATAATAAATCCGTTTGTTAAAGCCACCCATTTGTGGTATTTTCTGTTAGAGCAACATGAAGTAACCAAAACACGGGCTACAGAGAAAATCTCTATCGTGTTAGAGAATACATATGGCACCAGCAATAGAATGTTGCTAGAAATGCAGACATTAAATGTGCTTCTTGTTATGCTTTAAAAGGAAATTATGAACATGTGACTGGACAATGGAGGAAGAGTGATGCTTTTTATGTAATGGCAAAGAACTTGGTTGAATTACTTTCAAATGTTTGGTAGAAGGCAGAACTTTTAAGTGATGAACTTAGGTATCTGGCTGAGATTTCTAAGCAAGATCTTAAAGGGGCTGCATGGTTTCTCCTCGTCACTTACAGCAAAATGTGAGAAGAAGGATATGGACTTAAAAATGAACTATGCAAAATGAAAACAAAACATAAAAGATTTGGAAAATTCTTGTGGTACAAACTAAGGTCATGTGTCCCAAAATTTTCATCAAGGATCTGGCTTCACAATCTTAGTGAAAGAGATTAAGCCTCTGATAGATGGATCTAAGCAACTACCACAGCAGAGAACCCATCATGTAAGACTGAAGGGGACAGAGAAAGAAAGAAAGATTGCTGTCTGCTTCTTTGAATTCTATTGGCAAGACATAGGCCAAAGGAGCTACCTCTGCTGTCCTCTAAGAAAAGGAAAGGATCATCCCTGGAGCAGCTCAGAGATAAGCAGAACTGTTTGAAATAGCAAGGGAAGCAAAGCTGCATTGATTTCAAAGGGTAGAGTCACAGCTGCCCAGATTTAAAAGTCCAATAGATCTTTACCAGCTCTAGAATACAGGGCTGCCATTCATGTGTGCCAGGGGGATGGGGCCCAAAGTTGAGGGGGGTGGGATCACCACTCAGATGGACTAGGAGAAAGCAGCCGCCAAAGCCAAGGGAGCTGAGTTGCCACCCCACTGGGCTTGGAAGGCAAAGTTGAATCCCAGAGTCAAGGGGCCTCACACAGAATTCAGAGGGCATGGCCAACACCCAAAGTTTGGAGGCAGGTGCCTTGACCAGAGCGTCCCAAAAAGAGTCTTATTTTCAATCTTTTGGAGCTAATGTAAATTGTTCTGCTGGGTCTCAGACTTACTTGGTACCTGTTACTCCTTCTTTCCCTCCAATTTCTCCCATTTATAATGGAAAAATACACCTTGTGCTTATCCCACCATTGTAGCTCAGAAGCAGGTAACTTGTATTCCAGATATCACAGGTTCACAGATGAAGAGAATGGACTACACCTAAAGTCACACTCATATTTTATTTAGATGATTCAGAATCTGAGATTTTGGACTCAGAGCAAATTTAAGACTTTTAGAATGATGTGATGGGGTGAATGCGTTTTGCATGTAGCAAGAACATGAAGTTTTGGGGACCAAAGGACAGAATGTTATGGATTAAATTGTGTCCCAAAAATATGTGTTGTAAATCCTAACTTCTATGTCTGTTGTTATAAATCCCATTTGTGATGTTATTGGACAGATTAGTGTGTATCTTAAATCAATCTCTTCTGAGATGTAAAAGACTGCAAACAAAAAGCAGCCGAGATGGGGAGAGATTCAAGGCCACATGAAGATCGCCCAGGAACAGAAACGCAGAAGAGACAGGACTTTCTTCTAGAGCTGACAAGAGACAGAAAGCCTTTCTCTAGAGCTTGCACCCTGAACTCGGACTTTTAGTCTCCTAAACTGTGAGAAAATAAATTAGTCTGTTAATGTCACTCATTTGTGGTATTTCTGTTATAGCAGCACTAAAGAACAAAAACAAAAACTAAGGCAGGGTTTGATATATCTGACAACTGCCCAAATCCAAAAACGATATACATTTGGAAAATGCACACCTTTCATAAATCATTTAGTTTATAAATCATAAACCTACTGTATAAAGATCACTTTGATTCTTTAGTATACTGTTAACTACAAGCCAATGTTTTCTGTCAGTGGAGTAGGACGTAAATCTTCTGCACAAATATGTCATTTTTTCCTTTACAGACTGGGGAGCTGCCCTTTGTTTTTTCTTTTAGTTACAGTTGAAAATGGTATTTTTATAATTATCACTTTAAACATTAAAACTGTATATTAAATTAAACAAGTTGTTGTTGTTGTTACATGCCGTCAAGTCAGCCCTGACTTATAGTGACCCTTCCCTGGGTTTCCAAGGCAGTATCACTACGGAAGTAGATTGCCCAACCTTCTTTCCAAGGAGTGGCCGGTGGGTTTGAACCGCCAGCCTTCTGGTTAGCAATCAAGTGCCTTAGGCACTATGCTACCAGAGCTCCTAATTCAACAAGAGCCTAATAAAAATCATTTTGATAGTCTCTGATTTAGAAATGAGGAAAGCAGAAAGCCAAGGCAACCAAATTATAAGCTAAAATTTTTTTTAAACATTAAAGAACCCAGAGTCGTCATTCTACATGTAAACATGTATTGTACCAAATATAGAGATTCTGATTTCAGAAATGGCACAGTGAGATGGTAACTCAAGAATATGTATTCTGAAAATAATCTTATAAACTTAAGTCTTATAAAAGTCATGTATACATCTACATTTAAATTAAAATTTACAGCTGAATTTTCAAAATCAATCACTTGATTTATCTTAGTAAATGGCAGTGGTACTAAGAAACCAATTATAAATCAATTTCCTATAAATTAATTCTCCCATTATACATTAGATTAGATGAAAAATTACGTAAGTATTATAGTGTCCTCTGGTCCGTATGTAACACAATTATAATAGATTAAGAGTCAAAGAAAAGCAAACAGATAACCAAGAGTAGGTCAGCTTCAGAATGTGAACTGGCTAAATATTTTTAAATGCCTATACAGTTCTACCTGGACACTAACCTGGGAAAGAGAAAGCTGCAATCTATAGAAACAGAGAAAGAAAAGAGTCAGATTTAGAAAAGGCAAGCAAGAAAAGGTTATCAAATAATTTTACAATTTCGTTCGTTAAAAAATGCTGTTTTCTAGGTTTCTTCTATAATGAATTGATTAAATATCACTATTCCTTCTTATATTGTTTGCTATAATAGTGAAATTAGAAATGTTACTCTAGTCATCTAAATTCACTTGATCTTTATATAATTACATACAAAATTTAAAAAAATTCATTTCCTCCAATAGGAAAGTCACATGTCTTTTCTGATTTCAGCCAACCTCTCATATAGATTCAAAACTACTTATTTAAAGTGAAACAAAGGACTGAAAAAAATACACTTACTTATCATAACAAGGATTTAAAAGAAACTCTTCAATGAGTTTTAATCACTGCTTTATGAAACACTGTATGAGATTAATCCTAAAAGATTTATCATGAAAATAACCTATCATCCAATAGTTCAGTCTTGGTGATTTTTAATCGACAGATTTTTTTTTTTTTTTTTTAAATACCAAAGAGAGTTTTCTTACCATGTATACTTAAAAATAAATCAAATTATAAAGTATTTGATAGCTTTTTACCTGTGTGCAAGATCCACAGAAACAAAGAAGAAAATATAAAGAGGTCTCATAAGAGGAGTGATTTCATAAATATCCTGGGTTTGGAAAGTTGCAGTCTCCGTAGCTGTGTTAACAATTAATGAATATTCTCCTATACATAATGTCAACCAGCCAAAGACAAACAGGACAGCAGTGCCTCCCATACTGCCATACAGCAAGGTTATTCTGTTGGGGAGCAGATACCATGTTCCAAGACCACACACTACCCCAGCAAGAACAGAATGAAAAACTGTATTGGCTATGTACTTCTTGCCAGGAATCAGAAATTTGATAGTTTCAGCACTAGCACAACTTGTAAATTCATGCTCATCTTCCTCTGCTAAAATGTCTGTAGTTAGCATTCTTTCTACTACCACGAATTTGTTTCTGGCATATAAACTTGTGAACTGGATGACCAATGCAGTGAAAAGCATTAGTCCACCTGAAAGCGCAGCGGTGTGATAGTCTTCCAGGATGCCTAACTGGTACAAAAGTGTTCCTATTCCACCCCAAAGCCATGGCATTAGAAAAAGGATAATCTGATTAACATATATGTAAGGAGGAGCACAAAAGCCTAATTTGAGTCGAGGGCCTCCAAGCACAGTCTGTGGAAAGCGCTTCAGAAAGAAGTCCTGTTTGTAATCATTCAGCAGAGGAACATTTGGACTCATTCTTCTCATTTAGGGTGATTCTGAAAGTTACATCCTTTTCTGTAGCACAGCAGTCTCTAAGAAAAAGAAAAAAGTCACTAATTGAAAATATCATCCTTAAAAGATGAAGGAAAAATCCCATTTTTATTTTTCTCCTCAACTAGACTGTTAGTTCAAGGGCAGGATCTATAACTTCACTTCTCTTGGTTCCTCCCCCATGACTGACACATACTTAGTACCAAACAAAAGCTTGCTCTACTGTGTTTTATTTCTTAAAAAAAAAAATTACACTTAATATAAATTTATGTAGAACTTAGTATCAAGAATGAGATCTTAAGTTAACTCACATTTTTAAATGTCAAAGGAAATTTTAAAAGCCAGTGAGTGTTCAAATTTGCCGGTGGTTTAGCTGGTCATTTCCTAGCATGTTTTTATTTTTAAAAAGGCTTTTCCTTTATTAGGAGCTCTGGTGGTATTGTGGGGAGCTCTGGTGGTGCAGTGCCTAAAGCATCTGACTGCTAACCAGAAGGCTGGCAGTTCAAACCCACCAGGAAGGCTGGGCAATCTACTTTCGTAGAGATACTGCCTAGGAAACTCAAGGAGGGGTCGCTATGAATCGAATTGACTCAATGGCAGTTGAGTCTGGTTTTATTTACTTTTTATTTTTGGTAGTATAGGGGGTAAGGCATTTGGTGTTTGGTTGTTCATCAGTAGGCCTGTGGTTCAAACCCACCAGCTGCTCTGAAGCAGAAGATGAGGCAATCTACTTCCGTAAAAATTTATAGCCTTGGAAACCTGATAGGGGTTGTGATGAATTGAAATCGACCTGATGGCAGTGGGTTTTTTTTCTTTTCCCTAGTGGTGTAGTGGTTAAAGCATTCAGCTGCTAACCAAAAGTCAGCAGTTCAAAACAGTTCGACAGTTCAAACCCACCAGCTGCTCCATAGGAGAAAGATGAGGCAGTCTGCTTCTGTAACGATTAAGAGCCTTGGAAACCCTATGGGGGCAGTTCTACTGTGTCACTATGAGTCGAAAATCAAGTTGATGGCAATTGTTTTTTTTGTTTGTTTCCTTTATTACAGGAGTAAGCAAACCTTTTCCGTAAATGGCCAGAGAGTAAATATTTTTGGTTTTGTGGACCATATGGTCTCTGTTGCAAAGACTCAACTCTGTTGTTGTAGTACAAAAGCAGCCATAGATATAAATGAATGAGTGTGGCGATGTTCCAGTAAATCTTTACAGTCATTCATCAAAAGAGGTGGTGGGCCAGATTTAGCACACAGGCCATAGTTTGCCAACTCCTGCTCAATAAAATGAATATTCTCCAACAAGGGAAAAGCATGGAATAGGAGCATTAAGTATTATTTGTATCACTTAATGATAACAGTAAATTCAGGATTTTTTTTTTTTAAATTAAAGTTAAATCCTGTTAAAAAAATAACATTTGAATAAAAAATCTATACATCTACTGGCAGCTCGACATGAAGTGGAAAGATCAGTGACCTGGAAAGCAAAAGACCTTAGGTAGCAGAGCAGATGCTTATCACTGGCCACATTGCCATGCGCCAGTCACTAACAAGTCTTTTTTCCGTCTTTCTGCAGACTCTACCAGAACTGAGAGAGCATTAATCAATAATGGATTTGTACCAGAACTGAGAGAGCATTAATCAATAATGGATTTGTACATGCTTTAGTCTACATTATTTTCATTTAAGGGCCACAAAAATCAAAGTTTCAAAATAACATGACTTCTTTTCTCCTCAACTTTACCTGCCCTTGGGATATAGTCAGCAAATTACTCTGAAAAAGTTTCCTAACATAAGATCAGCTAGCAAAATACTACCTCAGTGGATCATATGTTGGGCTAAAAAAGAACATTAAAGTTCATCTTAAAATAGCCTTTCCTCCAGTCAGTTTAAAATGTTCTTCTTGCCAGTCAGTTTTACCAACCCATTTCAGCCCTACATAGAACTCCTGGACATGATGAAAGGTTTTCGGAGTCACCTTTAAGAACCTTAGTGTACCTCTTGTTCTACTGTTAGTTCTTAAACAGCAGACACCTATTTTCCAGCCACTGGTCTTAGTTCTGCACAGAACAAGTTACAGCTTTGACTCATGACAGCCCTGCAAGCACTCACAAAGTAACAGAACCACAAAATGGAACTTTACGGGCCTTATGTTCAATCTCAGGGAATGAAGACTGCCTCCCTGCCCTCAGTATGAATTATCTCCTGTACTGATGTTAGGATGAGGATACTGTATTCTGACATGACTGTCCTGTAGAAGCTATGGGTTAAGTAAGGTCACACACTTGTGTGTGTATGTGTGTGTGTTAAACATTTCTAATTCCAATTGTCTATATTATAAGTCATCAGATGTATAGGTGGACAGATAGGTGGTTGGGCTTAACTATTAGGTATATCTATGCAGGGGGTAGTGTGCCCATGACCATGTACAGGGCTGGCAGACAATGTTTCTACAAGTGTATTTGTATGTTCTGTAAGAATTCCTAGGTACATACTAGAACTGACAACGGACAAGGTTGTAGTCACTTCTTGGCCACAGTCAGCTACCCAGAGGGAGCGAATAGTTGGACCTGTGGGCTCAGAACCATAGTTGCAGGGGACATCAAGCTCAATTGGCATAACATACTACACAAAAACACTGCTCCACATCCTACTTTGGTGAGTAGCAACTGGGATTTTAAAAGCTTGCAAGTGGCCATCTATATGCAACGATGGGTCCCTCCTCATCCACAGCAAAGAATGAAGAAAACCAAAAACATGTGGAAACAATTAGTCCAAGCAACTGGTACATCATGCGATCCTCAGCCTATATGACTATGAGACCAGAAGAACTAAATGGTGTCCAGCTAGCACTGTCAACCACTCAGAGGGGGATTTATGTAGGAGGTCCTGGAGAGAGTAGAAGAACAACATGGAGCAAAACTCAAAATCATTTGGGGAAAAATAAAAGGACCAGGCTTGCTAGTCTGACAGAGCCTGGTGGAACCCCTGTAACTATGGACCCTAGCTGCCCTAAGGTCTGGAATTAAACTCACTCCTGTGGCTTCCAGACAAACAAACGACAGAGATACGAGCTGAACATCTACATTAGGTAGATACACTCCTTGGAGAGATCAATCATGGAAGAATAGAAGGGCTGTGTATGCACAGGAAGACAGCTCGTGGGGGCAGGAGTGCATGGGAGGGAAGGACACAGGGAAGAGGTAACCATGGGGAGGAAATGGGAGGGGAGCTGTTGCACTGTGGGAAATTACAGTCAATGTCATGAGACAAAGTATATGTGAGTTGCTATATGGAAAATGAATTTGTTCTGTAAACTTTCACCCAAATCAAAGTAAAAATTTTAAAAATAAAAATAATAAACTGTAAAAAAAAAAAAGTCATCAGACAGGAAAATGAACTTGAATGGCCGGCCTGGGCTCTGAAAAGTGTGGATGTGCCTGAAATTTCCCCACGGAGACAGCTGAAGCTGGTCCCTCCTGTTCCACTAAGTCAAGCTGGGGACAAGGTGGGGCAGCTCACTTGTGAAAAGAGCTTAAACTGAAGATACTTTATAAACCAGAATACATAGCTCTAATCTTACTATCCATACCCATTTCCCTTCTAGTCCTTCTGAGTCTTTTGTAAAGTTCAGTTCAAATAGTCTCATACATCTTATAATCATATTTCAAAACAATGGAATATTCTAAAGATCTATATAAATGATGTAGAAACTGAAAGAAATGCATAGTACAACAAAAAGTAAAAGAAACAAGTTGCTGATTTCATTTTTTTTACACATACCTGTGTGTATATATACTTAGATATAATTTGTATATACATGAAGTTTCAGAAGGGATACTCACTAAGTCATGTGTATGTGCATGTGTGTGTTTTCTTTTCAAATTACCAGATCGATCTCCAGAACTCTCAGCTCCACAGCCCTGCAACACACCCTGCACATTCCTCATGCCCTCTCCTATGCCTAGGATGCTCTTTCTTCCTTCCCTGACTTGTAATCTTAGCCAACTTTCAACACTTGGTATAATCCTGTCTGAGATTTTTGGAGAGCACTTTGTTCCTTCTCTCTGTATACCAAAAGCACTCTTGTTCATGCTACTCATCTTGTAACATGTATTAACACAGGACATTTCTTGTAGTGATTTTCAGTAGTATCTACTTCTTGATGCATTATCTTTTCATGTGTATTTCTTTTCTCTAATTAAAGTTATCTGTGGATAGGAGCCAAATTTTGAGATTCTTCTGATATCCCACAATTCTTTATAAAATACCTTGCATGGAGAAGAATATAACACATTAATAAGCTTAGATACGATGATTAAAGGTGGAAAACAAGAGAGAATGCTGTTTTAAAGAGAAGTTGAGAGTATTTGCCATTTTGAAAACTTTTTCCTGCGTCCTCTGCCCCAGCAAAAACAATAAACCCATAAACTCCTTATTCCCAGTTTAGAACATTTTGGAAAACATCTTCTTTTATTTTCATTATGATTTGGAATAAAAGTACCATCCAGTGATGGTGCTATTGGCTCAAGTTAAGATTCTGCCTACAACAGTATATATCCCCCCAAAGCAACATGGGGAACAGGATAGGCCAGCAGGAGAAATATGGCTGGGTTTTTCCTGTGGAGAAGGAATAAGCTAGAGAATTTTAAGACATCAGATGCCCGATTTTAATTTGTTCCATGTCTTTTGCGATGCTTTAATCTCCTCCCCAGGACAGAAGGCACCAGTTCACACCCAGAGAAAAGGGCAGAGATAGAACAGCAAGCACAAGGCAAATGAGGGAAGAACATAATCAGGAATTTAGTGAGAGCAGAGCAAGGAGTGCCAAGAGAACAAATGTTCCCTTAAGAAGCCTCAGAAATATGGGGACTGACAATGGGATGGTGATGTAAATTATTATCATGGGATATTAAAAGAAAGGTTAAAGGGCACAGGTTCATCTGTGCCACAGAACATTTCTGGAAAAGGGGCCTATCGTTAAAGAAGTTTGAG